ATTGTCAAATTGCTAATTTTATTATTTGGATGAATGATATCAATGTTTGGAGTTAATGAATATTTGTGGCATGTACAACTTCTGTTTTGTGCACATAATCTTGTAATTGCATTTTCACTTCACGCCTAGCAATTTTTATGTACCATATGAACTTTTATTGATCATTGTCTTTACCTATGTCCGAGTTAGCATTCAACAAGCTGAAAGAATGCTAATTTAACAAATAAACAAAAGAAATGCAAAACGACCTTTGACCAATCCTCCCTCCCATCATCTCAACTTCCTGTTAGCCTAACCATCTTAAGGACTTATGTAGAATCCCGAAGTAAACAGAGAGTACAAGCCACAATTCACAAGACATAGCACGATAGCTGCGAAGGCACCAACAAAGCTCAGTCGACCAGCCTAACAAGTACAGGAATCAGCTATGAACTTGTGAAACTTCGTGAAACTTTAATTCAGCTTGATGACTTTAATTCAGCTTAATAGTCACAAAACTGGGATGTTTTGGCAGTAATAATAAAAACAAAATCCAGTTCTACAAAAATTCAAATCATCCACTCTTAATTTAAGTACCATGTCATCAGCCTAATGACATTGTCTGTGTTTTCAGGCCATTTAGTTGTGCCCATTTTCAAGACGCAGCATCGCGATTTTCCATGCATATCCATGGAGTTCTTGCTGAAATAATCTTCTTGGTTGTGTAGCTAAGCTGCTACATGCTAGATTTACTTGCATCCTTGAGAGCTTTGCTTCTGAGATTCTCGTCCTCATCCTTTGTTTCCTTATCATCCTTTGTCAGATCACCTACAGCAGAAGACTTGATGCTTTTCGGGCTCGAGTTGGGTACCTAAAAGCAGAAACTCTCTGGCTGTTATAAAGCCCTTGGCAATTCATTTGATAACAACAAAAAAAGTAGTGAAGATGACGTGAATGCCATAAAAATTCCAAAAACTCAAACTCTGAAGAAAAGACAACGTTATCAAACGACAAACCTTTTCTCTGAAGAAACAGAATCATCTTCTTGTTTTCTCTTATAAATGTTCTCCGTGCTTGCTTTCTTCTTCTGCAAAACCAGCAACGGCAAACATAAGCCTCAGTAAGAAAAGAAATCTAAGCACTAAAAAGCGGGGGAAAAAAACCTCTAATTCTAATTTGGATCAAGTGTTAATGCTCCCAATACCTGCTCCTCTTGTTTAAAGATATCAAAAGTTGACTGGAGGAAATGCCCATGATTATTGTTCAAGTGGAGGAATGTTCTAAAAGTTAAATTTGAAAGTGCAGTCCACATACATCCTATGCCAAAAGTAATGGCCAAGAGATAAAGCATTGATGAAACATCTATTTTAGACAAAACATCCTATACAGGAAATTATGGCTAAGACATACAAATAAAGAAAAAACTTCTCTAAACAGATATGTTAAAGGATTTGAGTTTGTTTTCAAGGTCAATATTAGGATTCTATCTATTACAATAGTTTCTCTCCTTTCGTTTCAATAATTTTATCTTTTTTTTGACAACTGGATTGATCCTTGGATTTGAAACAAATGAATGTTTGAAAACCCTAACCAGCTAAGTGATTAAAATGATCAAACAAGAAAATAATCTTCTGTAGATAACAAGCAAGCCAGCAAAAGAATACTGTACAGAAGTTCTGGGAGCATGTCATGGCAACATAAATCTGCAAAAGGGAACTTAACTCTTAGTGTGGTGAACATGAGAATTAACTACCTATACAAATTCGGATATGGGGAAGGCAAGTACAACATCAAGAAAAGCTTAATGACAACTTGAAAATCCTTAATAAAGGATAATGACAGCTGTCTCAAACAGTACTTCAAAGCCACAGCAGCAGAAATTGAAAGGTTTGATTGTTTATTCTATCAATATCACATCACAGAGATCTCATCAATATATGAGAGGGAGAGAATTTTTTTTTTTTTTGGGTGGGGGGGGGGGAGGCGATAACAGAAACACCACAAATAGCATAATGAAGAAAAAGTAGGAAATCAGGCAACTAACTTGATGACAAGAAGTGTTGCCAACCAAAAACCAACTTTCTTTTTCCAGATTCAAATTCTCCTCGTTCCCATCAACATATAAAACCTGACACAAAGACAAGAAGCATGTGATGACTCATAAAAAAAACTTACTTCCATTCAACATCAGCACATTCTCAATCACCAAAAAATGTCAAACGAGTGAGAGAAAACTGTGCTCCTAAGCTTGTAACAATACAATAAAAAAAACTTAGACAACCGCTGATTAAAGTAGCTAAGATGGATCAATATGTAACAAATACACCAGCAAATGGATCTTCCAAAAAAATGTTTTATTCTTAAAGAATATGAGGAGGGTTTACAAAGTGTTCTTATCTCATTATGAGGAAAGGACAGAGATCAGAGACTAAAAGCAAAAAATGGAGGCATAATAAAGGATGAAGCAAAACCAAGGATGGATTTTAGAAGAGTAAATGATAGCAAAAGTAAAGGTTTAGGCTATGAATGTGAATATTATCACCTTATGTTTCTTCGTCAAAGGATCAAAAGCATCAATAACACCTTCATAAAACCTGCACAAAAGGAACTGGATAAGATAGAACACAACTTTCTGCCTGTTCTCTGACATAAATATTAAGTTTGACAAATTATCCCATATTCAATTGCAGAAATTTCAACTTTGCATTTATCAATGAAATGGAGGAGCATTCCTCGAACAATGCCCTCCAAAGTAAACATGAAAACTAGGATGTCATGTTGGGAAATTCTGCACCAGGTGTCTTTCCAGTAGGATGTTCATGCACATAGTGTATCTATGCTTATGTATCTAATCAATATATCAACTACCAAAGTCAAAAGTAATCCCAAGTAGCATTGGAGATTTATTAATGTTATAAGAAACACTTAGATTCATTACTTCACCTCTTGAGGAATCTGACGTCCATCAACATCACTATGCCTCCTCGACATGCATCCCTGTTAGTCTTTTATCTGGTAATAGCAGTTAGCGTACTGTTTACTACCCCAGTTCTAAGCTTTTTTTTTTCATCCCTCCGGGAGAATTTTCACTATCTGTTCATGATATCTCATCTTTTTCCCTATTCTGTTTCAAGATAACAATAGGAAAATTTTCTTTTACAATGGCCTGCATCATATCATGAGCTTCCTACAAATGGAAATAATCAATTACAGCTGCTGAGTTGATTCAAACAAATAAATTACCACCCACATACACACTGCACAGAGACACATATGTTCATATATAACATGCTCACATACATTACATTATCAATGAAAGATTAAAGCAGAAATCACCATTGACACCCAACTGGCCAGAAATATTCCTAACCACTAAAACTACAAACAAAATAAATAAATAAATCTAACAGTTAACACAGGCCACAACCTTCAATCACAAAATTGAAAATCAGAAAAGGATGACTTCAGGATGAAAACAGCAACTTTATGTAGCAACAAATACCTGAGTTTTGAGGGACTAAATCATCATGTACTATGAAATTCTTTAGTAAAAGGAAAATGGATAGGGGCAGCAAATGCCCAGAATTTGGGATAGGAAAAGATTCACAGATGTCGGTCAATTAAAGGTTTGCTAGAACTACAGAAAAGAAGTCAATAAGCCAACAAGATTCTAGTTTTACCAGTTGAGATTATGCATGGGTTTTGAAAAACCATAGTCTTGCTGGATTGGAGGCAATAGTGGTGAAACAGTCTCCTAACTTGGCCAAACCAACTTCACAAAATTGGCTTTTTGGCCAAAACATCCTTTAAGACAAGTTCTACTTCTCAGTTAAGGAAGCTTCCACTGATGGTGTTTAATTGGTAAGGCAGGAGATTATAAATCGTACCATATTATAGAAAACAAAAAAAATAAAAAGATGGGAGTTTAAACTGAGACAGAGTGGGGAGGATTGTAGTTGATGTAGTTTAGGTGGAACGACATGTCAAAATCAAGCAGAAAGAAGGCGGGGGGGGGGGGGGGTGAAATAAGATGAGTATAGTTACAGATATCCAACACCCATACAACAATGCTACCCAGATGACTCTCCTAGCACTCTTTAACTGTTTTAAAGAAACAGAACCACCTGGACCAAAGTCAAGATAATAGCAACATTCAGAGATTCAACTTACAAAAAAAGTACAGAGGATCAATATATTGTCTCTCGAGCATTATCAACAATTTAAGTCACTTACTCACTGTCCATGGACCACCAGACCTTTATCCTTGAACCGACTAACTCTTCACCATATTCTTTGACAATTCTAGGCTTCTTGCAACCCTGAAGTAGTATAAAATGATATATTTGGACGTTAGAAAGCAGATATGAAAATCACGTCAGGATATTGCAACAAACACAAAGCTTCAAAACGAGGCATATCAGACAGGCAAGAAATTTAGTTGATCATTGCTAACAAGCATGTGAAGAGAACAGGGTGCTTCCTCAAGTTCTCAGCAGATGCCAACTAAGATTCCATTGATCTATTTTCTATAGTAGAAATCTTTAGACTGAAGCTACAAGAATTGATTCACCTTTTACACGAAAAATAAGATTTGTACTCCCTCGTATCAAATTGAACATCCTAAATTCTTATTTGCGTGGTGACAAAACTATGTCCACTTTGCTTACTCTGAAAATTTAATTACAGGTAGAAATGCACCGACACATCAATAAGGAAACATAATACCTCAGTATAAACTTCAACTGTTTATAGAGAATTGGGTTTTCTTTTCCTTCTATTTGGCGTAACTCCTACTCTTGCTCTTGGTTGCATTTCCCCTCCACTTTCTAAAGCTCCAGAGGCGAAAGATATTTCAGCCATGCTCTTCAGCTGCTCAATTTTTTCATCAAACTGCAATATCTTCGATGAACTCCTATCATCTAATCCATGGTCATTAGTGTCTGCCTCCTCAGCTTTGCAATCATCTATAAGTGACTTGCAAAGCTGAGCTTCAGTTTCCACAAGATGAGAGGCAGTTGTTTCCCCTCCACCATCACCTGATTAATTCAAGGATTAATTCAAGATACATAAACTACGGCCAATCCCTACATTTTAATGTAAATATTCAAACAGAAGAAAGATTAGTGACAAAGCAGCAAAATATACAATGGGATTCTATACGATCTAAACTAGACTGACCAAAGACATTAGCAAGTCAAACAGGAGAATGCCAACCATTTGACATGCCTGATCTGCTAATTTTGCTTAACAAAAAACAAATTATCTTGTCTTCAGAAAAAGTTCAACTCGTCAATTCTTATACAGAACTCCAGACATGGAATCAAACAACCCTCTGATGAATCAGAGACAACAGATACAGTCTCATGTCTGGAATATATAGCTTAATTTTGAAGGAAAAACTATTAATAACAATTATATTTTGATGTTGAAAAAACAGAAAGATCTTGCTGTTTTATCTTTGTACATATTCTTTGTGTTCGTTTTCATCTGCTAAATCAGCCAAAGTGAATATAAGCCTCAGTAAGAAAAGAAATATAAGCACATCTAAAAAGAAGAAGCTTTTGGTTGAAATTTCGATTAAGTGTTCATGCTTCCAATGCCTGCCCCTCCAACTTAAAGAACACCAAAAGTTGACTGGAGAAAAGACATTATTGTTTCAGTGGAGTAACGTTCTAGAAGTTAAATGTGAGAGTCACTTGCACATACATCCTATACCAGAAGTAATGGCCAAGATATAAAGAATTAGATAAAACTTCCATCATAGAAAAACATCCTATACCAGAAGTGATGACCAAGACACATACTGATAGATAAACCTTCTATCCTAGAAAAAGATACTTCAAAGGATTTAATCTGTTTTCAAGGTCAATATTCAGATTGTATCTATTACGACAGCTTCTCTCTTTTTCATTTTAATTATTTTGTATTTTTCCTTTTCTTTTTTTTTTCCCTTCCAACTGTATTGACTCTTGAAATTGGAAAAAAAAGGGAATCTTAAAAATCCCTAACCAGTTAAGTGACTAAATTGATCAAAAAAATCATCATCCATGGATAACAAGCAAGCCAGCAAAGCATACTGTACAGATGTTCAGAGGGAATGTCATGACATCTAAAATCCACAAAAGAAAACTGAATTTTCGGTAAGGTGAACATGAGAATTAAACTAGTTATGCATATTCTGATATAAGGGAAGTGAAGAACAACACCAAGAAAAGCTTGACTGACGACTTGAAAAAACTTGGTAATAACAAAGTAAAGACAAGTTTTCAACAGAAACACGTTTTGAGGATCTAAAAGAATAAACTCATCTGTCTCAAACAGTACTTGAGAGCAGCAGCCAAAAAAAAAAAATTGAAAGGTGACAGATAGAAAATCAGTGACTAACTTGATGACAAGAACTGCCGCCAAGCAAAATCCAACGTTCCCTTTTTAGATTCAAATTCTCCTCATCACCATCAACATAAAAAACCTGAAACAAGGACAGTAAGCATGTGATCACTCGTAAAACAAACTTAACCATTTAACATCAGCACATTCTCGATCACCACAAAATTTCAAACCAGTGAGAGAAAACTGTGGTCCTGAGCATGTAAAATTACAGTATAGAAACTAAGATGACTGCTTATTCATGCAGTTAAGATGAATTAATATGTCACAAATGCACCAGCAAAATGTTTTAATCCAAAAGAATAGGGTGAAGGTTTACAAAGTATTCTTATCTCATGTTGAGGTAAGGATAAAAAACAGAGCCTAAAAGCAAGAAAATGGAGGTATAATAAAGGATGAAGCAAACCAAGGATGAATTTGAAAGAGTTAAATAATAGCAAACGTAAAGGTTTAGGCTGTCATTGTCAATATTTTCACCTTATGTTTCTTCCTCAAGGGATCAAAAGAATCAATAGCGCCTTCGTAAAACCTGCGCAAAAAAAAAAAATTAATAAGATAGAACATAATATTCTGCTTGTTCCCTGACACATATGGCTCAAGTTTGGTCGATTTCAAACATTAAGGTCGACAGATTATCTCATTTTCAGCTGTAGTGATTTCAATTTTGTACTTATTAATGAAGAGAGTGACTACTCAAACAATGCCACCCAAAATAAACACAAAAATTAGTTGATTTTGTTATTTGGCAAATTCTGCACCAGGTGTCTAGCCACTACGATGTTCATGCACATAATACAGTTAACAATTATGTACTTAATCAATATATCAACTATCGAAGTCAAACATACATATGAAAAGGAAATTACTTATCCCAAGAGGAAAAATTACATGTCATTGAGGTCCAAGTTTCACTCACAACCATAGCTAGAAAGCTCTTGAGGACGTCCCAATTTCTTTACCTTTTTGCTGAGTCAACTCAACAAAGCTATTTCCGACGCAATTGAAATCTACCAACTTCCACAATATTAGTCGCCTTCAATCAAGTTCAGCTTTCGTGCTTTAATGGTATTCAAGTACATTGTTGAACAGCAAAGCTTCACTACTGCCCTCATCCTGTCATGCTTAGATTTAATAACAGACACTTAGATTCATAGATTCATTACTTCATCTCTCTTGAGGAATCTGATGGCCATTGACATCAATTTTTCTCCTCGATGTGCATCCCATGTTAATTTTTTATCTGGTCATGCAATTAAAGTACTGTTTACTTCCCCAGTTCTAAGCATGTGTTTTCAGTTCTGTTCAAACATAATAATAGGAAGGTTTTCTTTTCCAACAGCCCGCATTAATATCATCAGTTTCTTACAACTGGAAATAATCAACTCTGGAATCCAAGTTGATTCAAACAAGTTACCACACACATGCACACGCAGATGCACATATGTACATATTTAACATGCTCAAATACATTACATTACCAGTCAAAGATTGATCCAAAAAGCACCATTGACACCCAACTGAGCAGAAATATTTCCAACCACAGAAAAATGAAATATTAGCACAAAAAATATATCAAACTACTACATTAACATTAAAAAAAATCAACACATAGCAGGCCATGGTTTTCCATAGCAAAACTGAAAATCAGAAAAGAATAACTTTAGAATGAAATATTGGGTTCATCTAGCATAAATATAAGTTTTAAGGGCACTAAATCATCATGCACTATGAAATTCCTTTAGTAAAAGAGGGAAAGGACAGGGCAGCAATGCCCAGAAGTGGGGAGAGGAAAAATTCACAGATACGCTCAGTCAAAGAAAGGTATGCTGGAACGGAGAAAAGAAGACACTTAAGTGAACAAGATTCCCAGTTTTTCAGGCTGAGATCATGCATGGTTTTTGAAAAATCATAGAATTATTTGGTTGGAGGCAATAGTGGTGAAATAGTCTCCAGCCTTGGTTGAACCAACTTCATAAAATTGGCTTTTGAAGCCAAAATCTCCTTTAAAAGAATTTGTACTTATCAGCTAAGGAAGTTTCCACTACTGACATTTAAGGGGTAAGGTAGGAGCTAATAAGTGGTGTTATATCATAGAAAAAGAAAAGCTGATGGAATTTAAACTGAGACAAAAAAAAAAGGGTTGTAGTTCATGCATTTTAGGTGGAAGGACACACCAAAATCAAGCAGAAAGTTGGGGGAATGGGGACAGCTTGGGGAATTAGATGGCAATAGCTTCAGCTATTTAACACCCATATCAACAAAGCCACCCAGAAGATTGTCCTATTACTTGTAAACTGTTTCAAAGAAGCAGAACCACCTGGACCAAAGTCAAGATGATAGCAACATTCAGAGATTCAAACTTACAAAAATAGCAAAAAGGATCAACATATTGTCATTAATTTTGATCATTTAACAATTTGAGTCACTTACTGCCGTCAATGGGCCACCAGACCCTTATCCTTGAACCAATTAATTCTTCACCATACTCTTTCACAATTCTAGGCTTCTGCAACCCTGAATACAAAAAGATGTCTTCGCACATTAGAAATCAGATATGAAAATCATGTCAGAATATATGGAACAAACACAAAGCATCTAAACAAGGCATATCAGACAGGCACGAAATTTAGCCAGTCATTGCTTACAAACATATCGAGAGACCGGGGTGCTTGCTCAAGCTCTCAGCATATGCTAAGCAAGATTCTAATTATCTACTTTCTGTAGTAGAAAGTTTTAGACAGAAGTTACAAGAATTGGTTCACCTTTTACATGAAAAATAAGATTTTGTACTACCTCATATCAAATTGAACATCCTCATTTCCTATATGGGTGGCGGGCGGAGAACTTGTCCACTTTGCTTAATTTGACAGTTTTAATTGTAGGTAAAAGCACAGAAACATCAATAAAGAAACATAATACCTCAGACATTAATTGACTTATTAATGAACAAACATGATATTTCAAAATTTTCAGCTTCTTTGCATTCCATTCCTTTTTGTCCATCCTTCATTCTTAATAAAACCAGTGGTTTTCCTTCTGATCGCTCTGGATATCTTTTTCCTTCTTTACAAGTACTCTTTTCACACCAGAGGTGGTTTCTACTGTGAAAACAGAATTGCTTCACCTTTACATGAAAAATAACTCCCTCCATATCAAATTAAACATCCTAATTTCCTATTTGGTCGCTGCAAAACTATGTCCACTTTTCTCTATCGCAAAATTCAAATCAAACATCACTAAACAAACATAATACCTCAGATTTTTCAATTTCTTTGTCTTTCATTCCTTTTTGTCCATCCTTCCTTCTAAACAAAAGCAGTGGTTTTCCATCCAAATCACTCTGCATGTCTTTTTCCTTTGTTACAAATACATTCTTCATGCCAAAGGTTGTCTCTATGTTGTTACAGACAGCAGATTTCTTCCTCCTTGAATATCTCCCAGGTTTTTTGTCAGCATTTTCTGTTTTGTCTGATCCTGTTCTTAAGCAACCATCAGAACCTGGCAAGCTTTTCTTCTTAAGTTGATCTTCCAGTAAAACACCTTCCTTGTCAAACATGGCAATGTTAACATCATGACTAAACATGCTCTCTTTCTTCCTTGGCCTACTCTTTCTCTGAAGACTTTTACCTCCTTCAGTTGGATCTAGGGAAATGGGAGCACATCTGCTGTCAAAATGTAACGTTCTTGGCGGAAAAGAACTTGGCTTGTCATCCTTTTCTGCTTCAGGCTGCAAAACAGACTCCGTTGCAGATGAATTACTCGGTAAGCTGCTAACTTTCCCAAGATTCTTTTTCTTACAAGGTATTCTGTGAGAATCTCGGTGTCCAGTTATCCCAGAATATTCATAACCTTCCTCCGGTTTTATCAGAGAATTGGGTTTTCTTCCCCTTCTATTTGGCATGACTCGTACTCTTGCTCTTGCTTGCATTTCTCCTCCACCGTCTAAAGCTCCAGGGGCAACAGATCTTTTAGCTATGCTCTTCAGCTGAACAACTTGTTCATGGCTCTGCAATAGCTTTGAAGAATTCCTATCATTTGATCCATTATCATCACTGTATGCCTCCTGAGCTGTGCAATCATCTAGCAGTGACTTGCAAAGCTGAGCTTCATCTTGCACAAGGTCAGCAGCAGTCATTCCTGACTCCTCCATCACCTGATTAAATTAAGATTGACAAATTAAAGCCAGTCTCTTCATTTCAACACAAACATTTAAATAGCAGAAAGAATAGTGAAGAAGCAACAAAGAACAAAACCAGATTCTAAATAGTCTTACTAGACTGAGCAATTCCAACAGGAGAATATCAACCATTTCAGCTGCCTGATCTACTAATTTTGCTTAAAAGAGCATTTTCCTAATCTTTAGGAAAAATTAGACTCATTAATTCGATTTACAGAACTTCAACTATGAAAACTAACGATCCTATGATGCATTGGAAGCAACAGAATCAGTCTGACATCTCAAGCACAGCTTAATTTTAAATGAAAATCTATAGCAACAATCATTTTCTGATGTTGATTCTCTTCCTGAACAATTTCTGGTTTTTCTATGAGTTACAGGAAGATGAATATAGAGTTATAGACTATTTCTTAACATCTCACGTATTAGACAGTGGGGGGAAACAACAACTTTAAGGAAGTCCAAACATATTTCCATCATTCACAAATACAAGGAGCAAGATAAATTACAAGAGAAGTATGAAATTTTGGAGACAGTATAAAATCATAAACCTATCTGCCTTTTGCCAAAAAAAAAAAAAGGTCCAGTTGAACGAAAGAAAAATGTCGCACCACATTGGCCCCAGCTGGCATATCTCGGCATAACAAAGCAACTATATCGGCATAATCATTAATATCTAGACTCATTGACTTCAATGCATTCATGAGATAAGGTTTGACTTTAGTTGAGCAGTTCTTTAGTACTTTCTCTCCTAGCCAAGAGGAAGCTGGTGAAGTAATCTGAGGCAAACAACAAAGGTGGTTGAGTACAGATTATTTTTTTAAAAAAAATGGAGAACAAATGACGCAGAGATCTATACAAGGAAGAGTACCTGATTTTCCTTTTTCACACTATTCAGAAGAGGCTTTAGAAGATCTAATAAAATTTCATCACTTGCATCTATAAGACAAGTCATAATTTCTGCCATGTTGGAGAATACAGCATGCGGGTGGTTGAACCTTGTATTTAACATTCAAACATAAGAGTATCTATCAGCACATGATAGTTTAATATGTTGATAGGTACAACACAGGTGGAAGACAAACAAATGAACACTCATAATTTGATTGTTCGAATTAGAGACCATGATTTAATCACTCAACAACACATCAAAAAGGTTTTCCCATGAGCTCATCAATTTTTTAACCTTTGCCGCCACTGAGGAATTCATGAAGCGAAAATCAGATCATATATTCAGGAAAGAAGGTTGAAGGTAATGTAACACATCTAGTAACTTCAAATTAAAGAGTATTGTAACTACCAGTACTAGAGTTACTTTGAAAAAGCTGAACGATAGCAATTACTAAATGATCCAAAGAGGACAAACAGTCAATTAGAAGATTTTGTCAATAAAATATAAGATTTTAGACTTACTTAATGGTACTTAGAAAGAGTTCGAAGATTTCAGTGACAAATGCATTGCAGCCTAGGTCCAGCAAGATAACACAGCATCTGAACGTTGCAGCAATTTCAAGAATGTGCAAAGCTTTAGAATAACAGCGACCAGATAAAAGAGACAACTTCTCAAATGCAGCTAAAGTTAGCTGAAAAACTTCCTGCACGCCATCAAAATGCAAAGGCTGACAACTGAGTTCTAAATAAGTGTAGAATACAAAGCGCAGATGCAACTAAACCAAGAATAAATACCACCATAGGTTCTTCAGCTTACTTTCATTTTTTCATCCTCGTAAGGTTGATGTGGAGCTGTGATTCTTAACACCTCAGAGATGCAAGACATAACCGAAATCCTGACCTCCGTAGTAGGATGTCTAAACAGCCTATCAGAGATCAGAGCCTTCATCGAAGGCAACAGTGCATCTCGTATCGAACTGAAAGGATCTTGACCTAGGACCGATAAAAGGCCCTCTAGTTTCTAAACAACAGGACGAAAAAGAAGATAATAATTAATTTACATCAGACAGAAAAGAGTTCTCGAATATAAAATAATACGCAGAAGTAAGCCAGCAGTTTTGAATCGTGAAAAGAGAACGTTTATCAGAGAAAACGAAAGCCTCGATTAACAACATTTCTTAGGGAGAAGTAACCTATCAAATAAACATTGAACCTACAGGATCAAACACTCTGTGCCTCGTGCGTGCTTGGTGCAAGCCTATTTCTATCAATTATTGTTACTATGTGCAATTAATTTTGAACTTTACAGAAGCAAACCCAACAAAAGTTTACATTATTAAGCAGCAAAATCACCAAGATACAAACAAAACAGGATTTAATAATCTCAATCAACAAGGACTAAATCAACAAAAGCACTCAAGAGACAAAAACCAAAACTTTTATATTTGATTTTGCGCATGCATGCAACATAGCCCAAAAAAAAAAAGGAAATAAGCCAAGCCAATCTCTAAATCTTCCAGATGCCTCATGAAAAAGTGATCTTTACATCGAGGGAGGCAAGGAGATCATCGGTAGAAGAGATTGGCACCAGAAGCTTCACCCCAGCATTAATCAGCTTGTGTTGAAGCTCCCTCTCCGAATCCATCCTCGAATTCACAGCCAAGCTCCTTGAAAAATTCTCGATTATCCCAGAAATGCAACAACCAACACGAAAATCTAACCTTTTTGCCAACACGAAATCAAGAAACTGATTATCTCTGTCATGATAGTTGAAATCAAGCTGGAAGGACGATTTATAGTAAAGGGTCCTAGGGAAATCAGCCTAGGGAAAAGGTAAAGGTAGAAGACAAAAAGATCGTACGAGGATTAGCATAGTACTAGGATTTTGGGGAGGTTTTGGCGGTGCATATGCCTCCGTGTAGACTTAGCCGTCAGGAAACTTCATGCATGGGGAAGAAGAGACAAAATGGTCGAATCGGGCTCCCGTTTGGATTAGCTGTTTTTGGAGGGAGTTTTTCAAATATTTTACTGTAACTTTGTATATGAATAACTTTTATTGTAGATATTTTTAGATTATTTTTAGAGATATTTTTAAATATTTTTATAATTTAAAATTTTGTTGAGATTCTTTTTAAATATATACTGGGTCTGTTTCTATATATTAATGTTTATTTATTTATATATATAATATTTTTATTTCAATTTTGTTTTTTAATATGTATATTATTATATATTTAATATACATATACAAATATATATTAATATATATTAATATACATATTATAAAATAAAATTGATATGTATATATTTATATATATATAAATATATTTTAAACAAATATTAATATTTATATATAAATACATATATTTATTTCAATTGATATAATATATATAATATACATATTAATATGCATAATTTAAATTACATATTAATATTAATATAATTTATATATGTAATAAAATATACATAATTGAAATATACAAATTGAAATATACATATTAATATATATTAATATACATATTATAAAACAAAGTTGAAATAAATATATTTACACATTTATATAAATATATAAATAAATATATTTATATAGTTATATAAATATATATAGATATATATTTATATTTAAATATATATATAAATATATTTTAAAACAAAATATTTATATTAATATATAAAAGTATAATATTTATTTCAATTGATATAATATATATATTATACATATTAATATACATAATTGAAATATATTAATATTACTATAATTTATATATATCTTATATTCATAATTGAAATATAAATATCAAAATATACATAATATATATATTAATTTACATATAATAAAAAAAATTGAAATAAATATATATAAATATATATAAATATATTATTTATATAAATATATATAATTAAATATAATTATATAATTACATAAATAAAAATAAATATATTTAATTATATATATTTATATTTTGTATTAATATTTATTTATATAAATATATATTTATTAAACAAAATAAATTTTTTATATATATATTATATATAAATATTTTGTATATTAATTTTTGAATTAATATTTATGTATTCATTTATATATTTATTAAACAAATATATTTTTTGTATATAATATTTATATATAAATATGTAATATTAATATATTTTTTGTATCTATTTTTGGAGTTTTTATAAAACTGCATCAATTAAAAAAGTGGATTTTAAAATATATTTATAAACAATTTTAAAATAATTAAAATAATAATCTAAATTACAAGCCTATTTGAATTGTTAGTTTTAAAAATTTTTATAGAAAATGTATTATAATAATTTGATCTATACAATGTAAAAAAGTGATTAAAAAATATGTTTATGAAAAATATAGAAATTTTTTATAAGAAAAAGTACAATTCAAACAAGAATATACTCACAAAAAACGTAAAATAAATTTCCTTAAAAAACAATAAGCCTATTCTTCGAATTGATACTTTTAGAAATTTTATTAAAAATATATTATATAATTAATTTATATACATAAATTAAAAAATACTTAAAATTTTATTTACAAAAACACGTAACAATTTTTCCGCCAAGACCCATGATCCAAACAAGGCGGCATTTTGTGTATGATGCCTTGCGGATTCTGCGTGAAACATGCATTTTGGCTAGATATTGGGTTTGAAATCCGATGTTAATCCATGGGCATTGGCGGGAATTCCTTGTGGCCTTGATGTTAATTCACTGGAAGTGAAGTGACATGACGATAGCAGATTTTGAATGGGACAAGATTTGATTTGACTGTTGTAATTTGGAGTATTTTAAAATTAGGACCTATTTTTTTAGATGTTAAAATTAGGACTTAAAATACTAACTATAGTAGTAATAATTCATCTGATTTGACATCGTAAAGTTGACTGTGTTGGATTTGGCCAAGGAGGCATTGGTGATTGGTTTGTATGAATTGCATTTTTTTGAATTTTTTATTAAAAAATTTATTATAATAATTTAAAATACGTGAAATAAAAAAATAATTAAAAAATGTATCTACGCAAAATATAATATTTTTTTTGAAAAATTACAATCCAAACACAGATGTAAGGGTGCAATAATTTTTTTTTGTTTTTATTAATTGACAAGAAAACGTAACCAATTGTAAAACATTTTACATCAGTTCGAGTAATCAAAGGAAATAAATAGGGAACTATTATTAATTCTCTTATAAAAAAAGTATGGTAGATTTGAATACATGTAATAACATGATAAGTTATATATAATTTAAATGCATTAATAAGTACACTTACAAATCTTTTAATTTATCTTTCAAAATAAAATTACTAAATCTTAGCATGTGGAGTTAGTAATAAAAAAAATACATACATTGTTGAGATTTCACTTTAAAAATTCAAAAATTAAGTACATTATGAATTCTACAGTTCATTCTATAGCATAATACAATAATGTCTGGACAAAAACCTTTTCGGAAATTTTTTTTTGGAGATTTTCTAAATTATTATTACATCACCATTTTATTATTTTAAATTGTTTTTCTTCAGATACAATATATTACAAAAGCATTATTGTAAATGATTTTTTTATGCACAAAATCTTCAATCTAAATAAATTGAATGCCTTTCCCTGGCATTCCGCCCACTTCTTTCCTACTCTTTCTCCCCACTTCTCACTCGATCCCCTTACATCCATTAAGAAGGGGGAGAGGAGGTGGGAGGCGTATTGCAAGGTGGGAAGATAGAACTTAAAAGGGAAATGTAGGAGGAAAAAGGGGTGAAGCATGGTAGAGGGCACTGGCGAAAAGGTAGGAGGAGGGAGGAAAAGGTGGTGTGCAAGAAGGGGGTGATGGTGGAGGGAAAACAGATCATAATTTAATTAAATGATGGCGTATGTTTTTGTTACTTTCCTTTTTTTTTTGTTGTTAAACTTATTATAGGTTTTTTTTTCTTTCTCATTTCTTGAATCTCTACTCTTTATGGCTTAAAAAAAGAAAGAAAAAGAAATTGCCGTAGACTTTGTCTAAAATACTTATTTTGTTTCTAAAGAAAAGGATCGAAAAGGACAAGCATACTTATGCACATCACTAGACTAAATTTTTATTTGCAAATTCAACAATATACATCTCACGTTTAAAGATTAGGCATTGTCTATGTATTTTTTAAGATAACGAAGGGCTAGTGAAAGTGGTATTGGAAGAAAATTGATGAGGAGGAAGGATAATTTGCCAAGCAACCTTATTTATTTATTCTTTTTTGGTAAATGAGCAACCTTACTTACTAACTTTTTCTTGTTATATGTGGTTGTGAGTATGTGCAACTTTTGTGACAAGAAACGTAAGGCAGAGAATTTTGGATGAAAGAAAACAAAATTGAAGGACTTTCCTAGTGAAATTTTGGCCGTTCATTTGCTACCATGTTAGCACCCATTTTTCATATTTTAGGTATTTATTAGGCAGTTTTCTTGGCTAATTTGTCATCTGCTGATAAACTTTGAGAGAAACCCAAAATGTTTATCCCTTGATTTGGATGATGGGATCAAGGAAGAATTTTTTTTTTTTTAATTAAGAGGTCTATTTTGCAATGAAATCTAAAACATCTTGCAAAGTCTGGACTTTGAAGGCAATAATGATTTTGCCAAAGGGACAGTTTGTCCAGTTTAATTTGCAGGAGGAATAATGGTTGATTCTAAAAATTTGTATTGTTAACAAATTGTGGACAATCATTATGGTATTAGGTTAAAAGTGAACTCAACAAATTGGATGACCTTCCTATTTGTGATATTGAAGATGATAGTTTAAACAATGCTGAGTCTTGATCCTACCTAAACTGCAAGAGTTTATCTGGTAAAGATTGACCAAAATCTGCAAGAGCATTTGTTCTCTCTTATGAATATATTCATACATATGATTTTCTGTTAGTTTTATTATGATTCCTTAATTTGTGTTGCCCTGTTTTTCCTGAGTATAATGACATAGCAATTAATTTTTCAAATTTTATACAATTTCTAGTAGTGTCTGGTTAACTTTTCAATCAATTATTTGCCACCACTAGCATTGCACAAAGTATCTTAAACTTGCACAAATAAGTCTAAAAAGTTGCACAAACAACCTTTAACTTGTACGAGCGTTGCAAGGACCAAAATAAATTAGAGCCGGACATGTTAGCGATTGATGTACTGGCCCTTAGAGACCTAGGTCAAGGTGTTTCCGTTTGGATTATCTGTTTTTTAAAGTGTTTTTGAAAAATTTTACTGTAACAATGTATATGAAAAATTTTTACTATAAATTTTTTTGAAATATTTGATATATTATATAGATGAGATGTTTTTTTGAGTTATTGTGTATTACTGTAGCATTGTATTTGAAAAACTTGTTTTTGAAAAAATGACCAATCCAAACGGTAATTAAATGCATTTATCTTTTGAAGAGATATATGAGTTTGTTTGGATAGGAAGATTTGCAATAGAAATATATATTTTTAAAAAAATACATGTTTTTAGTTGCATCTTGTCTATAGCAGATTGCTTTCAATTGGCTGATGAGTTAATTTCAGAAGTGGAGTTATTAGAGGAAGAAGTGGATAGTATCTTCTGACATTATTTTTTTTCCCACCATCTGACACATGACAAACACACATATAGAGGAGGAAAACATTCAAAGTTATGCTGGTTAGTGCTGCTGCGAGTGTCTAAAGATTCAGTTCACTGTCTAAATTGATGGGAAATTTTGCTGATGATGTTGCTGAAGGGATGGCTTATATTCATCCCAGTGAATCCCATATGCCTTATATGTACAGCAATGAATACTACTGATCCATTTTACTGGCATGTATATCTTGCATTATAGAATATGTTCTTCTTCTATGTACAATTTCTAGATATCTGTTGGTTAATTGCTTCAGTTTAGTTGAGAATCCGACATAAATTTCCCCCCATTAGTCTCTGATGTCTTCATCATCACATCACAATCAGGGAAAAGGAGTTAAAAGGGAAACAAAATGAAACAAAAAAGTGAAAAAAATGAAATACTGGACATGCATTACTCAGAATTGATTGATCACCCAAAAGAAAATTAAGCATCTTCTATTGGTTGGTGTCACTCCAAAGAAACGAATAGATACATTTGAGTTTACAACTTCCAGATACAAGAATTTTTCCATCATCTGTTTTTTTTTCCCGAGCAAGATCCAAAATTCAAGCCTTTCACTTCATCTTCGGTCGCTGGGGTTCCATGTCTGTGCCTAAACTATACAAGAACAGCCAAATAACGCACTTGATAAAAGTCATAACCACAAAAATGAGTGACATTTTTTGCATTGCATTTCTAGTAGTAAGCTTAGTTATTCTTACAGAAGGATTGATAACTAAGAAACTCATTTCTAGTAGCAAGCTTAGCAACCAACATCATCAAGATCCTGTGAACTTGTTCATGGTTGAAACATTGTGATTTCAAACTTCTTGTTGATACCGCTAGTCAAATTTCCACAAAGGGCTGAGTAATTTCTGTCTTTTATAGTAAAAATGGTTAAAAGAAAAGGGTAGATTAATAACCTGATAATGGATTTAGACAGTAGGGTCAATGAGATCTCCAGTCACGAACGCTCTGTAGGCGGCGACGGGCCAGATGAATCCTCTCCACACGAGTCTCGAGGCCAAGGGGACATCAATGATGATCTCCTTCTCTGTTGGTTTCTTTTCATCCCTGATGGCAATCAAGTAGCTCCTGCCTACCCACCCAATCCATCCAGCAATGTACAGGAACAAAATCCCTGGGGTGATAAATTCACCCAGTGTCTTTGGTCTCCACTCACAATCAAGTGAGGCAATCCATCCGATCCGCACAACAGCCCTTGCTTTCCATAATTATCAAACCTGCAAACCCAATCAACATTTCAGAACACAGTTTTCAACTCTTCCTGCAGGTCTGCTCACGGGTGAAAAGAAATGAAAAAAAATTGCAGGCAATACTAACCTGCGCTTGGTCTTCTCGATAGTGGCCTTAATAGCAAGAGCAGGAGCACTATCAGGGGCATAAAGCTTCAGGGATGACTCAAGTTTCTTGATTTCTTGCTTCTCGCGCTTGGCAAATTGCTTGGACTCCTTGCATGGTGTGAGGCCAGCGATGTCGGCCGAGGCGGGCATCACCGGGGCCGATAAAAGAATGGAAGAAAGTGCAAGAGCTGCAGAAAATGCCTTGAGTGATGGTGGTGAAGGTTGCTCTGAGGTTGATGTGCTTTGGTTGGGAGAATTAGCAGAGCATACAATTGTTGCAGCTCTGGGCTTTGTGCTGAACTGGGAATTCAGCTTTGGTGTAGCAATGGCTGTAGAAAGATTTGTGGGAATTGTGAGAGACATTTTGCTGGATTTTTTGTTAAGTTTTTGTGGGATGAAAATAAGATTTGCAAGAGAAGAAGAGTATGGTAGGAATGAGAGTATAGGAGATTGAGAAGAAGGCGTGTGGAGAGGGATGGTTTTTAGATTTTGGAGCAAGGAGACTAGTGGTAGAGAGTGGATAAGGTGGAGATATGAGTGTAAATGTAGCTGAGATGGATAGTCTTGATTGGTCAAAATTTGGGTTTTTGTGGGTATTGGAGATTCTCCTCCTCCACAGGAGCCAGACCGGTGGAAAGTATCTAGGTTGAGCAAAATAAAGTAAAAGAAATGGGAATATAAATGTTACAATTGTCAATTACTACAAGATTTTAGACAAATTTCACTTTCCACTTTAAGGCCTTCTCTACATTCACACTTGTCATCTTTGACATTTTACATCCTTATGTTACGAATTATTGCCACATTGCCTTCCACTCTAAAAGGGAAAAAATCCATTTTTCATTCCTAAACTTTGACTAGAGACACATTTCATCTACAAACTTTTAGGTACAACATATTTAGTATATAAATTAATAATTTCTGGTCACATTTAGTCCAAAACGATAAATTGTTCAATTTGGATAAAAAAGATCACATGTTTGGCACATGATCGTTGATTTTGACTAAAAAATTGTTTTTACTTAATGGCCGTGTGCTAGACATGCTAGCCTTCTTCGTCCAAATTGAACAATTTACTATTTTTGGACTAAATGTGGTCAGAATTTGTTAATTCATGTATTAAATGTGCTGCTTCTAAAAGTTTGGGGATGAAATGTGTTCCTAATTCAAAGTTTACGGAGGAAAAGTGGATTTTTCCCACTCTAAAAGTCACTAATTTTCCACGACCTCTAGTGGTGGTGAAAAATTCAAATGGTCAAGAATACTGAAAAGATATCTAAACAAGTGTGGTTTAGGTGATATTCTTGAAATAAATTTCAACAATTGTTTGTCCAAAGAAGTTTGGAAAAGGAGGGCAAAATTATTTTTCAAAATCATGCGATAACCAATAATTGAAGAGCTTTACAAAATACTTTTTCTTGATCTCGAGCACCTCAAATTTTCAGATCAAATGTCATTTATATCACGATGGAATTTCCGTATAGGCCTGGTTACAGGTCTAAAATTGGTTTTAAAATTCGAAAATTAATCTCAATGCAGACATGTATATCGATGATGAAGTCATTTACGAAGATATTGATAAGAATGACAATTTTGATCTACATTATGAAGAATTTGTGATTGTGAAAGAAAAACAAGGACAAAAAAGACTAATACAAATGTTTTTTCTTCTCTCCCTGCCAACTTCCACTCTAAACCAATTTTTGACTTGTAAGCATACTCATGTGAAAATTCCATCATTATATAAATGACAATTTTGCTTTGTTTGGATTCATCAATTTTTCAAATCCTATAAAATTTTTTACAAAGTACTCTAAAATGTACTTTAAAAAGTAGTCCAATTTTTTTTAATGTTTAAAAAATATTCTAAAAACTCTGTTACTCTTAAATATCCCAAAATATATTCTAAAAATATCTCAACATATACTATAAAAACTCTGCTATAATAAAATTTTTTAAAAACACCTCCAAATACAGTTAATCCAAACAGAGCAAAAGTCTTTTGTAAAGCTCTTCAATTATTGATTTTCACATAATTTTAAAAAATAACCTTAACTTCCTTTTCCAAACTTCTTTGGGCAAACGATTTTAAAACTTAATCCAAAAACATCACTTAAACCACACTTTTTGAGATATGTTTTCGTTATTCTCGATCATTTGAATATTTCATCGCCACCGCTAAATGTGTGCAAAATTTTGAACTTTTTACCATTAGTAAATTCTTTTTGCACCATTATCATTGCTGGAAAATTTTAATTACCTCCATCAGTTGTTCCTCTCTCCCTTTGTCAAATTTCCGGTCTATGACTGCTAAACAAATCAAATCCTTCAACTTGATAACTTGCAGCGACCAACAGTTCTCTCTAATCCTTTTTTGATCTCGTTTTCAACACAATCAATTTGACAAATTAGGACCATATTTATGGCCTAATTTGCACTAATTGAATACTTTTGATCGATCTTGTGGCCTTACTCGATTAACTCACTAAATAACAACAACTCTTATGCTCTAATTTTTCGAACGAAAAACTCTAAGGTTCGCAGTGCAATTTTGATAAAAATAACAATTATAGAAGTTTCATATATCCTCATCTAGTAACATGTGACGTATATCAGTACTCACAACTCGTTAGAATATACTAATCTATGAATGGAAGACCTTAATGGCGACCAAGCATCTCGGCATAGTTCTATTAGAATCACTAATTGAGTGTCTAGGTTTATATAATTCGTAAAACGAATAAATCATAAAATTATTGGTCAAAACCTTTCTTGTGTTGGCTGGGACGTGGATGATACTCATTATATTCTCGGCCTCTTCGTACGCTGCCAATGTTTTCCTCCTCTTTAAATCTTATATCTCTCTCCCTCTGCACACTTCCATGGTGCATTTGGATTGCACCTTATTTTCACATTATTTACACACACTAACCTACTTGTATTATCAATATATTTTTCAATCAATTTTTTTATCTTACATACATCAAATCAAAAAAACACTACAGTATTTTTCTTAAAAAAAATTATCCCAAATAATCTCCTATCCAAACACCTTTTTTTCCTGAAGTATTGTTTGGATAATTACATTTTTTCAAATAATATTTCACTTATATTATACACGTATTTTTCAATCTATCTTTTTATATTTTCAATCATTTTTGTTTATCTCATATATATCACATCACAAAAAGTGCTACAATAATTATTTCAAATAATACAACCACCAGTCTTTGGATCGGTGACCACCACCAATGCATTAAAGCTTGGTGGGATGGGAGGCAACCAATTTGCCACATTTAAAAAGTGACTCTGCTTAAAAAATCCAGACGGATGCGCTGATCCGGTGGTAGTTCAATCCTCTCCGGATTACCTTTAGATCTCTTTAGATCCTTCTCCGCCCCCTTAGTGTAGGATAATCTATCGTATCAATAACAAAAAATATTATTTCAAATAATACTCTATCTAAAAGATTCAACTAATGTTCTCTGTACTCCCTTAATATACATCGAGTTCATAAAATTATGTAAAATTTCCATAAAGAGACACAAGGCCCTCAGTTCTCTGCTACTTGATAGAAACATGGTCCAAAGGAGGCAGAACTCATATTGCACTAAAATCCACCAAATTCACCAAATTCCTACAAATCTATTACATGATGCCACGAATCTCATTTTGGAAGTAAATTTCATGAACTAATTAAACCTGATAGTATTATGTTAGTCCTGCTTCAAAGAATCTGGACTGGGGTGAATTGGGCCACTGTTAGAGAGCAGCTTTTTCGTCCTCTCAAGAACACCAAAGAATATTGAACCGCCTATCCCTATCCACAGCACCCGCGGCCCTATGCCCTGCAAGATAACAGTCAAAACAATGGTCTCACGTCATTTAAGCTGATGAGACCAGAATCATCCACTTTCCTACAAAATAGTGGTGACTATAACTAACAAGTCCAATAAATTTCCATTAGTACATCATCTTTAGTTCCAAGTGATTGAAAATTAGAGAAGCGGATTCATTCCATGACTCAAATGGTAAGGAACAAGGTTTCATTTGAGTTCGAAATGAATTCAATTTAGATAACTGGAAGGAGAAGAAGAAAGAAAATGGTATTTCCTCTATGGCTATCAACATATTAAACTAATCAGGTATAATAACAGTTCAAAAAAGTATCAATATATCCTTTTGAGTTATCAATAGAAATCCTGAAAACGTAAAAGACATAAAATTGGCTAACAATATCTAAAGTCTTTGTGAATCAAGGATAGAGGGTATATTATGTGTAACATATAGACACACCTTAAAAAGAGTGGAGGTGCCTTCTTCTCTGACAATAGTACCAACACAGTGGAGGATGCCTTCATACTGCTTTTCAGATCCCTGAAGAATTAACAAAATGGTAAACAACTGAAGGTCAAGCATGTGTATGTATTTAAGAAAGAATGAAGGATTAACGCATAAGCATCAATCATTAAAGCACACCTGAACCATCAACCTAGTCTTTATGACATCCAATGGAGTTGTTATAGCTCCAGTTATTGCACCTGTTGATTAACAAGAAAGAAATCCAAGAGATTCCCATATAAGATTGGATGTTCAGTTTCACTGATATGCATGCGGAAGAGGTGGAACCATGGTTAATCATTCTTTAATATTGAGTGAGCCACAAGAGTAGAATTCACAAATTCAAATACATTGAGAAAGGTATTAGTAAGATGACTAAAATGAATTCACTGCTAGTCACCCAAAGGATCACAATTTTGCAGTCAGATGCAGACTGCATAATACCTGGATCAGCATGGTGTGCAAATTAGGCAAGATTTCCTGTGCAGTATTGCAGCATCAGCAACTAGATTAACAAAAGGATCCTTGAGCTTTTTATTTTGGTAAAAGTATAATAAGCGTTATGCTAAAAAGGTTAATGGGGAAAGTTCTCAAGGGTTCTTATGAACGTCTCTTGTATTTCAACTATGTAACCACATGCCTCTGATGATGCACCCACCGTTCTAGAACTAGAGTTGCAGAAAAGGCAATTAGACAGTTCTGCTAGTGAAATGGAGTGCATCTGCTTTCATAAAGATGAACCTATGGACATACATGGAGTGGATTATAAAAAAAAAAAAGGAGACCAGGAAGCAGGGATTGAAGTTGTGAAAAGCAATGGAGACCACCACATTAACAGGAGCTTGGAATCAAAGCACTCTGAGTAGAAGTAGGAATCACAACCACAAACAATAATATAGTGACCATGGAATTCGTATCGGGAAAAAAAAAATTGATCATGGTATTGTCTATTATTAATGAATTCATTTTCATTAGAAAGGTTAATCAGGAGATGTTTAAAAAGTGCAAGCAAAGACATGATAGATCTAAGACAGGAGCAGGTGCATCAACTTGCCATTTACTACAAAAGAATTAATTGTGGTTTGTACTTCACTGGTGTACAAACCATTTCAATTTGAATATGTCACATTATTTCTGCTGTCTGACTCAGTCTTTAATGTTGTGTTGCGGACAGTGTTTAAATCCAAGGGCAGTTGTCAGAATAATTCCTAAATTTTTATTTAATTTTTCAGGAAGGTATAAACATGAAATTCAGTCCCTTACTGGTAATATGAAGAGACTAATACTCATAGATGTAGAAGTTGTAGTCATCTTACTTAGACAGAATAGTTTTGTTTTAGGACAAATCTCAAGGTAACTTCAACGACATTTACCATGTTAAGTCAGCTTCGGGTACGAGACAACTAGCAGGTGCATTCCAGTTGCTATGTTTGAGCATTACAATACCTTTTCCAAGAAAGTCAATTCACCGTCTTGTCAATGTGGAAGGGATAGAACAGCATTGACCTCTCATTTCGCATTGTCTTGTCAACTCTCTTAAGCATTCATAAGCATTCAAACCTTGCTTTTGCAGTATCTTACAATTTCTTAAGCATTGATTAAACGGAAAAGCAACCGGTGACAAACATAACAAAGTCAAACTCTACAGCTAATATATGTAACCATACTAATCAGGAAAATTTCACAACCTGACCACTATTGAGCGTTGCAGAAGACTAGAAAATATTAATTGATGAAACCCTTATGCATTTCAAAAACAAAATCCTACAAGATTGTAGTTACCAGCAAAAGCACCAATCATTGCAGTTTCAGGATCATTCAGATCCCTTCTAGCCTGCAAAAAAGTTAGCAAAACAATAAATAACCATACTTCAAAAGTAGAGTGGATGCTGAGAAGCTGTAGAACAAAGGCAATAAATCTTTTATATGGTCATGACAAATTTAGTCCTTGTTAATGATCCATTATCAAAATAAGCCATAGATTTCTACTCAAGTGACACTACACAAGCCATCTTTCCAGAGATCAACCAATTACCAAAAAAAGAAGATGGAAATATCAGGTGGCACAGTTGAACAACAATAGTGTTCATTTTTTCAAAAGATATGGGAATGTGCTCAGTTTATCTTGTTAGAGGTTGACTAGTTTGGCTATTTTATAACTTTGTGAGATGCTTCTAAGCCTGCTACATCAAAGTAGGAAATAAAATCTCATTTCCACGGGAAAATATTAGGCCTCTTTAGTAAATGAAAGAATAATTATTTGGATCTCTTACCGCTAATTTATAACCTATTCTAAGCTGCTCATAGATACAGAACTGTACAGCATCAAAAGGCAAGTCTCGCAACAGAAAGGATCCAAATCCCTGCAATAGTAAAGATAAAGGTGAAGGCAAACGTGCAGTAAAAGACTTTCAAAAGATGGAAAACCTATAGCACCTTAAACAAAGATTTAGACCCTGAAAGATAAGAGCATGGCGTACAGCATAGAGGCCTCTAAAGCCCTCCTTTGCTACAATACAGTGCACAGCATTGGGGGCAGATGAAAATTGTCCAGTCTGCATCCTTTGCTTAACAACCTAAGTAGTTATAAAAGATAAGGATTTCATACAACACCCATAAATAAAACAGAATAACCAACTTTGAATACCTCAGTTGGAACACGAACAATAGAAGATGCCACCCCACCCACAGCACCTGCTGTCTGAAAAAGCATTCAAAATCTTTAAACATTGCAAATTAAAACATGGAAGACAATTATTTCTTTTTTGTCTCAGTCAATAAGACATAGGAAAGTTTTGATTTAGCTCATTTCATCACTATAGAAATACAATTAAAGCTATTAGACAACTCCTATCAGCTATCTACACTTAGTTTTGCCCCAAATGAAAAGGTATTTAAACAATAATGAAAAAGTTTGAGCAGATATAATTAGATTTCCTGGATCAGGAAAAAAAAATGGAGTTAGCAGAAAAGTAAAGAGACAGGAGTTAATTATGATCTTGAAGATGATTAGTTCGAATTACAAATTAGCCATCCCAATAGGAACTACAGGAGGCATTTAAATCAAAGAGTAGAATCTGCTACTGGAAGATAACTCCTTAATTTCTTCATTGTTGTATCAATGTAACAATTTGCAGTTAAATCAATTTAGAAAGAAGCAGCAACTGTAATACGCCATTAAAGAGATGGCACTTTTATATTGTATAGTTTCAAAACTAACCAAATAAGCCAAGGCGCTGAGACTTTCAGGGAAGCTCTTCAAAAGCATTTGCTTTGTGGGTTCATATACACCAACAAATATTGCGATGCCCTGCAAAATGTTAGAAAATTTGTCAAGACTTGTCCTGCACTCTCGCTAAGAACAATGAAAAGCAGTTAAAGTTATTCCCATAAAGACTATAACTCCAAAAAGCTTCAACAAATTTCTTCATGCAAGAAGTAAAAGTACAACACAGGTATCAGAAATTATGCAGGTTCCTTGCAGATGCAGATAATGCCACCATAAATAGATAAACAAGTTATTAAATTTTTTGTGCAACTAATGTTAGTGATTCCCATGTCAGGATTCAAGAATTCAATTTGGCTATATTAAACAGAAAGCACCACAGTTAACCATTTTCAGACTACCATAGGCAATGTTTCTTAATTATCATTAAGAACCACTTTATATATTTCTTCCTTCTAGACTCCTTCCAAGGAACCTGTGGCTCGATTTACCACTTTCTCATGCCTCTGTGGTCACATATTACTTGCAAAGGCAGCTAAAGAAGGAGAAAACACAGACTCAAAAATTAAAGACAACAAAAATAACATATTAATTTTGCTTCCTCCAAACATGTAAATCATGGAGAGTAACGAAGCACATACATTATTTTCAAAATTTAGTATGTCTTATCATACCAAACCAGGTGAACAGTTTTTAATGCATGTCATAAGAGCTTCACAGTATTCAAAGAGGCAGACTGCTTAAATGATTACACATAAACACATCCAGCCGCATGATACCTTAAGCTTACCCATTAACCTTACAAGCTTCACTAGTTTCCCTTATGTATAAGCTTCTTGTTATCTTAAAAAGACTCAAGAGATTCCAGAAGAAACCATCTACATCACTCTGCAAATGGGTTTCCTATTATCTGACTTAGTCTCATGATAAGCAATTGTATTCAAAAATACATTCCCGGAGAAGCTCATGTAGAAGTACCACAAGAAACACTTAAGATGCGCCCTTAATGTCCTGCTGTGCATAAAGCCATGACTATCTAATTTCTAAGTGGCGCCAATTCTTGAAGTGATCCAGTCAATTAAGACAACTATTTAATGGATCACAACAAAGAAGTTTTTCTTGTTTAAAGGCCAAGTTGAAGACTCTCTGATTAAGAACATGCTGCCACTGGTTTGGGCTCTTTGTCTCTCTCCAGCTACAATAGGTGTAGGTCATAATATATCTCTTAGGAAAAGAATATAAATGTCCCATCACTTCTCCCAGAACACATAGAAAACTAGTAAATCAAATTATGGCCATATCTACAGGAAGAAGTTATCTTCAATATAATTGCAGCCTCTATACCCAATCTACATAATCAAGGTTGCTCAAATCAACTTTAGACTGCATTGTATGACATTATCATCTATCTGTTTCTCGTAGAGCACAAGAAAAACAGCAGTTGCAGTTATAAGTACTTACGGTAAGACCCCAACAAGATTTCCAGCCAATCCGGAGTAAAGACCCCTTAATATGATCTTTCCTCCACCATGAACTGCCTACCATAAAACAATGAAAAGCAAAACAGATCACCTCAGTTCACAAGAAGAAATACGTCAATGTAAAGCTTCACCAAACAACAGGTGGAACTGTCATCTGATCTTTTTAATCAGCTACTTTTTAATCTACAAGACTACAACAAAATGTGTTAACAAAATAAACCTGCTTGAAGTCTTGTTTTGATGGTGTCAATTGGGTACAGAACAGATTCAACGACAACACCAGCTGTGGCTCCAGCTACAGCACCCTCTGCAAAACCATACAATGGAATACTGCAAAGGGTTGTAGATTGGACAAAACTACCAATATATATAAAACAACTTTTCCAATGAAAGGGTAACACATTTCTATCTAGAACATGCCAGTCATTTATACAGATAAATTGTAGTGCTATATGATAGGACTGTCAGTTACCAATATTTTAGTATGATGCCAAGCAATGCAAGCAGAACTAAAAGTTCATTTGTCAAGTTCCTGAACTTTGTTAATGCTTTAGCATCGACCTAAAGTTAAAACATGTGGTAGTAATTCAATTATTCAAAGCAAGAACCCCAATTTTAGACATTTCCACACAGCCATCTCATCTATAAGCTTCAGTCAGACTACACTACTTTCAAATTTCATGCACTCACTTCAACATACTTTTGTTTAGAGGTCGTTTTGTTGTTCACAAACCAATATACAAGACATTTCAGTATATGTAATCTAAAACAACCATTCCCTGCGGCTTGGATTGTGAGACTAATGCATGCACTATTTTACCCCCCCCAAAAAAAAGGACTTACACCATCCATTAGACAATTATCTGGTTACATGGAGACAGATAGGGCTGATAAACCCACAAAAATCATAATCCAGACCAATTAAAAGCCACTTTTATGCTATATAATATTATTGTCAAATCTCATTTCAAGCTTTCCATTGTTGAGTTGTCCTTTATATTCCCACCGAAAACTTGCTTCCCAAAACTAAAGAAAAGAATTCCAATCCACAAAATTAAAGAATTGAAAAACTATATGGACATACAAAGCATGTAGCTACTTGCTATTAATAAATGAAAATAGCAACAGATTTTGTAGTAATATGTCTTTGCAACATAATGCACAAGGTCTAGCAATTTTTGTCTGTAGATGTAAAGCTCATCGGTACAAAACTTATGTTAACCATGCTATGTTAACATTTCTTTTGACCCAACAATGATATTCAAGAATAACATAGAAAGCATAAACCTACCATATAAAAATCTTATAAAATCAAATGGATCATGTTCATTACGGAATGTAGTAGCTGCACCCTTCATCTGATGTTTAAAATTGCCAGTCTGATGTTTCAATATTCTGCAGGGAGAATAATTACAGGCTTAGATATAAAACTTTTCTCCAAGTCTCTCTTCCCACAGAAAATAAAAGGAAAACAATGCAACACTCTGAAATCCTATACATCTAATCCAGACAAAAGCTTGATACAGCTGACAAGAAAAGCTAGTTACATACTTCCAAACAGCTAGAGCAGTAACATCTGCATCACTAAATCTTCTTACTGTAGCTTGAGGCATTATAACCACATTTGAGACAACCCAAAAAAAAAAAAAAAGAAACTCTGCACCTAGGCTTCTGGAATTAGATTATTCTTCATTTCTTTCTGATATGTTGCAAATTATTCAAGTCAGCATCATTACAGTAAGATTATAAGATACGGCCTCTGTTGCATACTTAAAAGGCAGGCTTATCACTTATATCCTGCTATGGGCCTGGACATCTTAGATCTCCTCCGAAACTTAGGTCTGGTTTCAACTTTAAAAACAGCATTTCCTCTTTTCAAACTTTTGTCTGCGGAACAACATGAACTGGCTTCCTAGCATATTTAGCACGGAAAAGAAATACTTCTAGCATCTTTAACTCTTAACAGCTATGTTCCGTAGACAATTAAAATTAGATACATGTGTCACCTGAAGCAAGATTTAAGCCTAATGCGGTACATTTTAAGATAACAAAATACCTTAAACGTACAAGTTATACCATTTCACTTGGTTTATAACTTCCCTGTTAAAAGTTCTAAAGAAACTGAATCAAGAATACAATCAATCTTGCATTTAGTAGAGATTACCTGGTGAATCTGTATCTGCATTGACGGACATCTTTCAATATTCAGCTGGGCTGCAAAACACAAGTAAAAACTGATCAGAAAAATGAATAAACTGAAAAGGGTCAAAAAATCTTGAAATAAAATCAATGATCTTTTAATCTTCAGGTGATCAAAATTTTACTAACTTTCTAGTTTGCAGTGGAACCCTTTAATCCTCAGGTGATAAATGGCACTCTCAAGTTTGCACGGCAATTCTTTCCCTATTCTATCTAACATTCCATAGAAATAGAATCCGGCTCTAATTTTGGATTGCTTAATTTAACTACAATTAATTACCATTTTTAACCTCTCGCTGAAAATAGTTAGTGACGTGTATTAGAGAGAGACCGATGGAGTCGGAGAACACCTGCAAATTAATGAGCAGAGAAGACAGATTACTTCAGAAATGGCGTTAAGTACTTTGAGGCCCTCAAAGTTTGGTGCAATTTGTAATTTCCTCTGTAATGTTTGTTTTTAGGGATAATTTCAGAAACCTCCCCGAGGTTTTTAGGAATAATTTCAGAAACCTCTGAGTTTCAAAAATTACAATAACATTCATTGAGATTAATTATATTGTAACATTTAGCACCAATCAATAATTAAAAAGTGATATTAAAATAGCGAAAATAATATGATTCTATTCTTGCCCCTCATCTACTACATCATTTAATTAATTTAATACCAACCCACACATTAAAGAGAAATACTAAAATTTGATGTTTATCATTAAGGATCAAATCACATATAACATCAAAAAATAGTATATCATTTTATATTTTTCACTTAATATAAGATCCAAATTACTCTTTTTAATTACATACCAATTGTTAAATATGATCAATAATAAATAATAAAAAATTTGCAACTAAAATATTATAGAGAACAAACTTTAACATCATAAATATTCTTGTCAACATATTAAAGTTAGTTGCTGATATTTTTATGGTATTAAAACTTGCACTTTATAATATTTTGGTTACAAATTTTTTTTTTCATTATTTGTTGTTAATCATGTATGATAATGGATTTATAACTGAAATGTGCAATTGAGATCTTACAATAAGTAAAATATATAAAATGATGCACTATTTTTGATACTATATGTGATTTAATTACTGATGATAACAACAAATTCTAATATTTTCTTTAGTATTTGGGCAAATATTAGATTAATCAAACAATTTAGTAAATGAGCGATAATGGGAAATCATATTATCTTCTCTGTTCTAATATCACTTTTTAATTGTTGATTGGACCTAAATATTCTAAGGGGATAATTTCAGAAACCTCCGTTGAGGTTTTTTACAATTTCATTTAGCTCCTCGAGGTTTTAAAAATTATACATACCTCACTCGTCATTTAAAATGACAATACTACCCTTAAATATTTTAATGAAATTCCCTTGTTTGGTATGCTTATATTTACAATGACTTTTAAAAATTATTTTTTCATTCTTTCATTCTTATTCATTTTTAAAAAATTTTTTCCAATAAAACTATAGAATTAACACTACTATTACTTCTAGTTTCTATTGTAACCAAATGTCAAACTAGTAAATTTTTTATCAGTTAACTTTCTATGCAATCCAATGTTTTTGTTGATCTTTGTTTTCTATTTTTTGGCATTAAAATTAATAACACATCAAAAAGAAATAACCCAAAATCAGTACTAAATTATGATAATCTCACTGCTCAAAAAATTTATAAATTCTAAATGAATCATTTTCTTTTCTATCTTATAAATCTAAATCCATAATAAAATACCATCAAAAGTATCATATCATAGTGATAAAATTATTATTATTACTATTATTATAGTTGTTTATCAAATAGAAGTTATGAACATGAAAATTTTGGTATCTTTTCCTTATAATTATACAAGATAATCTTATAATTGTATGAAAAAGTAAATTAAAACTCATTACACAGGGCATTTTTGGGTATTCACTTAAAATTTGACCAAGTCAATATTATTTTAAGGTTTTGTTACTAAAACTATCAAATCAAGGGAGGTAAGTGTAATTTTTCAAATTTTAAGGGACCTCAGTGAAATTGTTAGAAACCTCAAGGGAGGTTTCTGAAATTATCCCTATTATAAGATAGTAAACCTCAAGGAAGATTAATGTAATTTTTAAAATTTGGAGGGAGATCAGTGAAAATAGTCAAAAACCTTTCAGAAACCTGAGGAGAAGTTTCTGAAATTATCCCATGTTTAAATCCATCTCAAACTTTGTAACTTTTTGCCATGTTCTTTGCCCATGAAAACAAAACGGGTAAGATAAAATTACCATTGATCCTACTTTCTTTCCTTGCTTTTCCTTCATTAACAAATTATGTTTGGATATACATTTTAATGAAGTTAAAAAATGTTGGCACACAAAAATCACGTGCATAGCGAAAGCAATTTTATCACATATAAAAATATATTGGAAAAGGAGGAGAACAAATACTCAATAATTTATTTAATTCAAAACTCAACAATAACAAATATCAAGTCTCAATTATAAATATCAATAACCTTTAGCCCACAACAACTCACAAATCTCAATTATGAGACTTTTTCTCAAATCTATCTTTCAAGACTCAAGTCAACTCTTCAATTAATAACCTACTAGACTGGTAGTATTTATAGATTCTAAAATTTCATAAAACAAATATAATTGTAAACCAAAACTTACTTGAAAACTGATTTGAAATTTCCTAATTTAATATGAAAACTAGACAAACAACACACCAAAACAATTAACTAAATGGATTGCAAAACTAAATACAGTTTGGTTTAATTTCTTTCATTGTCTCTCTTAAACCAAACTCTTCATTGTCATCTCCAATGCTATCACGAGTTTGACTCTCCATGAAAAACTCGATTGCGATAGACACAACATTCAATCTCAACTTATGATTGGTTTTCAATTTCATTTTTACACGTAGTAGTGGATGAATCTTATACTTCTTGAGTAATTTCTTCGATTGATCACTCTTGTCAAAAAATTCAAACATATCCACCTATTCTTCATCTAATACTCCATAATTCAATTCATCCATGTCACTAATAAAATCTCCCAAAACCAAAAAAATCATAATTTTTTTCACCAAGATTTTTAACCTCACCATATTTTTGTGTTGATTGATTCACATTGACAACTGCATCAACCTTGATAGTGTCACAATTTTCAACTAAATCATCCACTTCATAATTGATATCAACCAATTCCATCACATGATTTTTCTCTTCAAAAAATTTATCAATCTCAACAAAATTAACAATTTCTACATTGTCACGATCTTTAATCACCTCTTTACTTTGACCAATGATTTCACTTTCTTTCTCAACTAACTTGTAAAATTTTTTCTTGAGTCACAAATTCTTTATTTTCATGTGCACCCACAATTTCTTCTTTATTTGCCTCATCAAAAACTTCTTTTTCTTCTTTTTCCATCACAAATTTCTTCTTCATCAATCATCCCAAACAAAATATGCAAATTATAATTTTCAACCATAACAAAAATTTCAAAAGTCTCTTTATCATCAACAAACACATCATCTTTAAATTAACTTTGCGTTCCAAACCAATTTTTGACTTAGAATTATATTCATATGAAAATTCTATCATCAAAATATAAAAGAGATCTAACCAAAACCACTAAGCCAATTGATTAGAGATGATAAGCCTTTTATAATACTTTTCAACCATTGATTTTCGCATTATTTTGAAAAATAATCTGACCTTCCTTCTCTTAATTTCTTTTGATTGATCTTAAGAAATTCACCCAAACCACACTTTTTAAGATATTTGTGCATTATTCTTGACCATTCAGATTTTTCTTTATCACCACTAAATGTGCGTAAAACTTTAAATTTTTCATCACTTACAAATTCTCTATCCATGACAACTCAAAATAATTTACTTATCTTGACAAATATTTTTTTTCTTCCCTTCTTGAATTTCTTGACTTCCCTGGCTTCAGATTTGATCAAATTTTATTGTGACAAACTGACAATCAACAATCTGACACGATCTTTTTTGTTTTGATCACTGCATAACATCAATAATCATGACAGAATCCTTCTTTTTAGACCTTTGTCCAATTAGGGTCTTTTTTCTAATTCCAATCAATGAACTAGTACTTCAAAACCAACTCTTGTGATTCAATTTTTTAATATACGTATAACAACCTTTATACCTTTTTATGGTATAGGTTTCTCTATCAAAAAATTTTGCACCTTTCCAACCACCAAAGACACCCAAAATCAAACTCTTGAATCTAGAACTCTGATACCACTTGTTGGCACAAAAAATCACGTGTATAGCGGAAGCAATTTTGACACATATAAAAATATGTGGGAAGAGAAGGAGAACAAATAGTCAATAATTTATTTAATTCAAAACTCAACAAAAACAAATATCAAGTCATAGCCTTTCACTAATGACAACTTACAAATTCAATTATGAGACTCTCTCAAATCTATCTTTAAAGACTCAATTCAACCTAACTCTACTCTTTAATTAATAACCTACTAAACTAGTAATATTTATAAACTCTAAAACTTCCTAAAACAAATACAAATGTAAATCAAAACCTAACTGGAAACTGATTGAGATTCCCTAATCTAATATGGAAACTAGACAAACAACACACCAAACAATAGACTAAAAGATTAGGTAATACAGTTCGGTTTAATTTCCTTCCAAAAAGAACCAGAAATCACAGCCAAGACAAGTTAAGTTCGCAAGAAATGCAGATTAGGGACTTCACCTGCATAACTCTAAGCCTTGCTAAAGCTGCTAGCCATGCTTTATTTTCTAACTTGCTAAATAATTACAATATACTTCGATGATAATGAGGAAGTTATACACTTAATAATCATTTAGTCACTTGACTGGTTCCAGCTGATTGTTAAACTAGCTATTTGTGACAAATTCGTATATTCATTTTTTCGTTCGGCGCAATCTTTCCTTCAAGTGACGAATTTTTGCATCAACTCTTGCAGAAAATCCAATTTGAGTCCTCTTCCTGGAGTTCTGCTGCTCCCTCAACCACATTGGTTTGTTGCTTACATCCGTTCTACCGTACTTGATCTCTTGGATCACTTGATCATCCATGGGGTAGAATGATCTTTGGATTATACTGAAAATGAAGTATGGAAGGAGTGTAACAACTACTACAAGAAATGTTACAATCCAATACATTGGTGCAGTCCCAATGGCCTCAATAAGGATGTGAAAACCACCTTGAGAATGCTCAGGAGGAAGCATACCATACAAGACTAAGAAGATATACCAGCACAAGATGCTTCCCCAGATCAGAACATGGGTAATCCAAGTGAAGTGTGTGACTATGAGTGCAATCTGGCAGTTTACTGTCCAGATTACACATGTATACATGATGGTACCGATGTGTGCTAGATCTGCCACCTTTCCATCTTGTCTGAGTGCAGCTGGAGAAAATATGTATATGGTGACTGTGAAGATAGCTACAGAAGAAAGAGTGGCATTCAATATCCAGCCAAAGATACGTTTCCAGCTGAAACATATGTTTCTTTGTCCCTGTTGATAAAGTGCTGGAAACTATTCCAGTGACGGTAAAATGGTTAATCAAGTTAAAATCTTGCAAGAAGATTAGCTTTTTCAGGGGACAGTAGGGATGGGGACGCGTGAGAATTGCATGTTTATCTGAGGTTTCAAACAATGAAGGCTAGTGTTATGAAATCGTAGAACTTGTTTCTTCTCACCTGCAGACAGACATCAGCTGAAACATCCTGCTCTAGAACACCTAGTGCAATCACAGGCAAAGATGTCAACAGAACATTGAATAGGACCATATACCAATCGTCATACAGATCATCACCGGAGAAATTGCTGTAAATTTCATTGTAGAATAATGTCAAGCCAAATGCAACATTTTTGTACATGAAGTAGAGAATCTGCAGCAGAACAAAATTTGTGTCAGTGAACCTTAATAAAGTCGATTATCTTTCTTTTCTGGGCACTTGCATACACGCAACACAAGATAGGATGGAGTATTACCATCTTGGAGATTCTCTTGTAACACCAATGCCCATGAACTATTAGTAAACGTTCCAAGAAATAGAACTGAGGCAAAGAAAAGTCACTTGCCATGACCGCCTGCATGTTGCATTGACACAAGGTTTCAGAAACTCATTCCATATTAGTTAGTAATTGATAAACAAGTAGCAAGTAGCTGTCATCCATTCTTGTAGATAAAATGCTGTTTTTCAATGTGGAATCCCTCAGTTAATTGCTGTGTATGCTTGGATTCAATTTATCAAACCTTATTCGCGAAATTAATAGTAATGAAAAAAAAAGAAGCCAGCCAAATATTTACCTGCATTCCTTCCATGCCACTGATTCCGACTCCAATATCAGCTTCTTGAATCATACCAACATCATTTGCTCCATCTCCAATTGCTAAGGTTGTCTTACCTGTGTATTATTCCTTATGGGTATTACGAAATAATAATTGCCGAAACTAACAGCAGCCAATCAGTATGTGTGTACAAACAGTATCTAATACTGTACAACTTGATAAAAAAAACTTATGGAAAGTCGTAAACCAAAAAACAGAGCACATACCATAAGAATGACAGCATTTTGGGACTGCAAAACTAGTAGTCTTATTTCCTTACGTCATTGTATACTAAATGATTGATTGCACATTAAAAAATCTAGTTAAACATTTCTACTGCACAACAATATCAAAATTAATGAAAGCAAAACTATTTGGAAAATGAACCACTTGGCAGGATCAACAGGCCGATAAGATTACTTATAATCCTAGTTACTAAGTTCTATCACACGGAGTAGATTGATGGCATCAAGCAAGCGCCATACACGAGGATCCCACGAAATGTACAAGTCCTTAGTCCTTAACAGCTAAAACAGCGAACTCTAAAAAAGACACTACAAAATAATAGACAAGGAAATGCAGCTTCTGAAGTCATAAAACCTCTTTGAACACTGTTATAATAGTATATATTAAACTATCTATCCAGGCATAGCACTTAATTTCATTTGAGACCATCATGCTCAATCAACAACTAGAAAAGCACGAGCAGGTGTTGCATCAACATAAAACTCAAGAAAATAGACCCACAATTACAAGTCTTCAATTTAAAACATGAGTAAAAAATGTATGAAAAATAATGCCTTATAAGCATATACACGCATAAGTGCAAGTCATCTCATTTGCTCATTCATACAAGAGATATGCAATTTTGAGCATGATAATATCGGATATAATGGATTTTGAGCTATAGAGAACGTCAGCAACAAATGTCAGTATGGTTCATTTGAAGATGCAGAGTTTTAGTAGTGATGTTTTCATGCAAAACAGCATAGGAATTTACATGTGCTCCTAACTGGTTGCACAAACTAAATCTGTGATGATCAGATTTTTCCCCAGAGGTCTATAATATCGGGTGTAATTGTTTAGTCTACCCCTTGCAAAGGAAAATAAATCCTCAGCTTAATTGAACAAGACTAAGATCCAATGCAACATCAACTAGTACCCTAAAGGAGAGACAAAGAATAACATATCAAAAGCAATAGTTTAATTAAGACAAATCAAGACTCAGTAAAACATCACCTTGAATTGACATTCAGTATCTCAGCATTGTCACCAGTCACAACATCCTTGAGCAAGATGAGACTTGGAGTATGAGCAACTGCTTCAAATTTCATTTTGATGTCTTGAATTCTGAAGTACTTCCATTGATCAAATTGAGGTTCATAATACATGAATGCACTTTTAGGACACTGAAACATCAACAGCCCTTTACTTTCTAGGAAATTTATGGGGTGGTAGACACCGACTGGCCATCTATCATAAACAGACAAGTTAATTGAAATGAACTTTGTCCAACTTTTGGGTTCACCATGTTTCTGCATAACCCATATGTCGATGTCATCAAAGACTGGGCCGACACACAAACACAAGCTATTATTTAACACTCCCAGGCTCAGATTACGCAGATTATCCCAATCCTTCATCCGGTGCTCTAATGGAGGTGGCTGAATTGCTTTAAATTGCTCTTGGCTGAGATCAAAAGAGTATATGAAATCCAATTTCCTGTCATCTTTACGGATCCAATGAAGAGATCCTTTCAGACAGGTAGTAAATCTCAGTTCACAACCATAAGATGGAGCATGACCAATGCGTCTCCAAGATCCTGAGCCAACTGTGTGTACCTCAGCCACTCTTTTACCAAAAACTTCTTTACCTGTAATTGGGCAACTAATAAGCTCCGGACGTCCTTGATCAAACAATCTAATAACTTTATATTCGTTAGTCTTCTCACTGAAGCCAAATCCACAAGATACTATATCATTCAAGCTGTTATCAACTTCATCTATCGCTGGAAGGTTTAAATACTCGCCTGTTACTGGGTTACATATGGCAAGAGGATTGTTATATGAGGGATCTGACAAGCAAAGAATTCCATTGCATGAATTGACAATTTGGAACTTCTGCTCTTTCGTCCTCACTTTTATGGTTCTCACATTCATGCAACGCTTCTTAGAGCCACCCTTACTGCAAAGACTCAATTTGGCACCACTAGGATTCTGAGGCACCATTTCAGCATTGCGCAGCGGGATCTTCAACTTGGTCTCTAGCTTCAAATTAACCCCATCAGGAGAATAGTTATCTGAATTGTAGCTCACATTAATCTCGGACGGTTCAATTAGGTAAAGCATTCTTGAAACTCTTGAGTTACCCAAAGTCCTAACCAGAGGACAAGGCTGTGCACTGGCAAAATGCATCTTAGCAAACTGAGGATCTGATATGATACGGCGCCAAGGTTTACAAACACACTTGCACATGATGATTGCCTTGAGTGGGAGTCGCAGCACAACATCTTTAAAGATAAAATCGGGTAAATCCAGTATAGAAGTACTCTTTGTCTCAGTCTCTTCATCTGCATCTCTTTCCACATGTTGGCTTCCAACTGCCTTTGAGTTTCTCTTCCTCTTCATCATTACTCTACAAGAAAGTCCAAAGCAAAAAATCGATCAACATCAACACTTAACAGGCAGCAACAAATTAGTTCAAGATATTGTGTGACAACATGAAACAGACATCTGAGGAGCAAAAACTTTAGCCACATCATCATTCAATACGAGAAATGTATAAATCTTCATTCTATAGAAGCCTTTAAAATCTGAACAATCATAAGTAAAGTCGGAAAAATCATATAAAAAGACCACAAATTATGTTTAGTTCCTCTTTTTTTCTTCATTGGTATTCGAAACATATTTCTTGATTTCATGCAAAAATACAGAAATCCCAATTCGAAACAAGTTAGTATCGGTCCGCAGATGTAAATTTCAAGAGTTTTCATTTACAAGAAGCCCATTAATAAAGATAATCATCTGCAAGACTATTGCTCTGCAATCACAATATCAAAAGAAAAAAGAAAAACATACATATACATTGATCAAAGTCATTTAGCCAAAAAAAACTTTCCACAAACTCCTAGATTGCAAGGAGTAAATAAATTAATTTTTTCTGGAGATTACTGATAGTCAGATAGAGAAATGTGTACCTGAGAGAAAAGTTTGAAAATGGGAGAGAGAGAGAGAGAGATGAAGGGGCAAGCCCAAATGTATCCGGAATTGTGACTTGGCGCCAAATTGGCCTGCAGTTTACTTCAATGGCGGGAAAATAGAAAGCAGAGTCGCTAGGATTTTGTACGTACTTGCTTTTGTCATTTTTGAACTTTTTGATACATTTTCAGAAAACAAAATTTAGAGTTGATCATATATGGTATTCAGAAAATTATGTTTATAAACCTGTATTTTACCTTGTAATTTTCAACTATAATCAAAATTAATCACATTCGATTTTATTCTTAAAATTTTTCCAATTCTAGATTTTTCTTTTGGACTTCTCATATTCTTTCGGAAAAAATTCTTATAATATGCCAACACATGATACCTCACAATATACTTGCACTTTTTGTAAGGTAAATGCATGTTAAAGATTGTCCCTTGGAAAATTGATGTTGATGGGAAAATTGCAAGAAACCACCTATTACGGAAAGCAAAGAGGGGTTTTGAAACAAAAACAAATCCAACTTACGAGAAAAGGAAACTTTTCATGTATTCTATACTTCATGAAATTTCTGTAGGACTAATCTTTTGAGAATGGCACTAATTTCGGATCCTCAGCTCCCTTAAGGAGCTTTCTACTGGGTCTCATCCTAAAAATTTAACATCTTCAAACAAATTTATTTTTCATAAAAGGAGTAGTAATTTTTTAGAATTCCAAGTCAAGTAAATCACAGATATTTGATAGTGATTTTCTGGAATTCCAAATCAACCACAAATATTCAAATAAAAAAAGGTGTAAAGAGTGACGGAAAACATCGGATGCTAAGAGGATTTAGAATAATTCTGATTATGGATTTAGGGTTTATGGATTTTTGTTTGATATGATTTCTCATTGGTTGGATCATTAATGCACTGACTGGATTTCATAATATTCAAGCGAAAAGAATAGCCAAATACGTTTCGGGGCAGGATTGAATTAGAGAAATCACATGAATTGTTACATATGTCAAATTTTTAGAATGAGACTCGATAAGGGACTCCTTAAGGTGTCCGATTCCCTTAAGGTGCCCGAGAATCGGATGCGTGTTTTAAGAGCCTCTCTTAGAGAGGTCTAATTGTTGCTACCATACATAATAGGTGGACAGAGTAACTTGAAAGAGAGTAAACATTTCCATGGGTTGCTGATGACTAAAACATCAAGCTTCAAATCAGTCATACATCTAAAGGAGGTGCTCGGCATTGTTTTAAAATAGTTATCATGAAATTATAACTTAGCAAAAGCATGTAGATTCGCCAATAACAAAGGGGAAACAGCTTCCAAGTTCCAACTGCAGGCACTAAGTTCTCAAAACATTTCAAGTGCTTTCCCAAGTGTGCTAATCTGCAGTAGATCATTCTTGGTCGCTGTAATAAGAGGAATCTGTGTCCATCTCCAAATCCCTGAGTTCTTCTACCAAGAAGAGAGCTTTGGTTCCTCCCAGCAGCTTGGACTCATTGCACCTATATCATATCAAAGAAATCAAACCTTTGAAGCATCACTACTGGATTCTGCAAGTACTAAAATTTGTAAAGAATGTCGAAAAGAAATTTAGCCAGTGGATGGATACCACTGGATATGGTTAATGCACATAACTGCACTGAATATTAGCATCCAGGTTCATTTTACGGATGAAAAGTCCAGCATGTTTACTACTGTATATCTTGGTACAACTCTTTAAAGTAATGAACCCACTCAGCAATAATTCAATTGGAGTACATTTAGCAAACACAGACCATAAAGCTGACAGCATTTCAGCAACTCTTTTGCCATATGATCCTTTCATCTCCATGTCAATGCAGGTTTGAGCTCGACAATTAGGATCATATGGAGATGAAAGGCAGTGAATCGATGGCAATGGAGAATGCCAGTAACCAAAGTAAGCACAATTCATCAGAAGATACGAGTTTGCTGTGGTATTCATGATCTCATCATGCAAGTAACAGAGGAAGTTAAGTTCTCAACATGGCAGAAAAGACTTGGTGTGTGACAATTAATTTTTTACCCAAAAATATGCAATATAAGGTAGAACTTATATGTCTATCGCTTGCAAAGGTCAAAGCATTCTCAGTTTCATCAGACATAACGAATTTTCAATACCTAATAACTAGTACAGTATGAAGCAGACAAAATGCAGGAATAGCAAAAAAGAGTAATTTATTTAAACACCATAAGATGTAGTAAACCATCATCCGGAATTGATATTCAGTATCTCAGCATTATCTCCCATCACTACATCCTTGAACGAGATGAAACTTGGGGTATGAGCAACTACTTCAAATTCAGTTTTGATGTTAGTACAGGAATGCACTTTTAGGGTTCCGAAACATCAACAACCCTTTACTTTCCAAGAAATTTATGGGCTGTTGCACACCAACAGGCCACCTATCATCAAAAGACAACTGAATGGAAATGAATTTTTCCAAGTTTTGGGTTTTCCGCATAATCCATATGTGGATTTTATCATGGACTGAGCCAACACACAAACACAAGCTACTTCTTAAGACGCCCATGCTCATATTATGCAGACTATCCCAACCCTTCATGCCATTCTTTAAAGAAGATGGCTTAATGCTTCTAAATTGCTCTTGGCCAAGGTCAAAAGAGTACATGAAGTCGAACTTCCAGTCATCTACACATATCCAATGAAGAGATCCATTTAGATAAGAAGGAAATTTTAGTTCACAGCTATAAGGTGGAGCATGACCAATGTGTCTCCAAGATCCTGAGCCAAGTGTATGTACCTCAGCCACTCTTTCATCTAAGATTTCTTTACCAGTAATCGGGCAACTACAAAAATCCAGATTTCCTTGACCAAACATTCTAATAACTTTACATTCGTTAGTCTCCTCACTGAAGCCAAACCACAAGATACTATATCTTTCGGGCTGTTATCAACTTCATCTATCTTTGGAAGGTTTAAATACTCCCCTGTTACTGGATTACACACAAGGGATTGTTACATGAGGGATCCGACAAGCAAAGAAACCCATTGCATGAATTAACAATCTGAAACTTCTGCTCTTTCGTCCTCGCTTTAATGGTTCTCACATTCATGCAACGCTTCTTAGAGCCACCCTTACTGCTAAGACTCAAGTTGGCATCACTAGGATTCTGAGGCACCATTTGAGCATTACGCAGCGGGATCTTCAACCTGGTATCCAGCTTCAAGTTGACCCCATCAGGAGAATAGTAATCTGAATTGTAGCTCAGATTAACCTCAGATGGTCAATTAGGTAAAGCATTCTGGAAACTCGTGAGTTACCCAAAGTCCAAACCAGAGGACAAGGCTGTGCACGAGAGTAATGCATCTGGGGATCTGATATGATGCGGCGCTAAGGTTTACAAGCACACTTGCACATGATGATCGCCTTAATTGGCAGCTACAGCACAACATTCGTGAAGATAAAATCAGGTAAATCCAGTATGGAAGTACTCGTTATCTCAATCTCTCCATCTGCTTCTCTTTCCCCATTTTGGGTTCTAACTGCATTCGAGTTTCTCTTCCTCTTCATCACTACTCAACAAACACATAACAAGAAGTAACTAATTAGTTCTTGATACTCTTTGACAACATACAACAAATACCAGTGGCTTTTCACCCAAATCATCATGTAATAGCAGCAATAGATATATCTTCAGACTTACCCAGAAAGAAAATGTATAAATCTTCAGTTCATAGAAGTCTTTCAACAATCAGTATAAAAAGATCAATCAACTTATCTTTAGTTCCCTGTTTGATTGTTTTATTTGTTTTCATTCCATGGCCTTTTTATTGGTATTCAAACATACAATTTCGTTTCATGTATAATGCAGAAATCCCAATTTGAAACAAGTCACCATCTGCAAAGTTGCAAGCATTTTCATTCACAATAAACCCATTAACCAAGATAATCATCCGCAAAACCATTGTTCGGCAATCAAAAGATCACCAAAATGAAACACATAGACATTTGGCCCCAAAAAAAAGGATAATCAACCGCAAAACCATGAACTCTTAGAATTCAAGGAAGAAATGAACTCAATCTGGAGATTACACAGAGAAATATAGAGATATGGTATTCACCTGAGGAAAAACTTGGATGAGCGAAGAAATATGATCACTGATGTAGCGAACGAGAGAGATGAAAAGGCTAGCCTAAGTGTGAGACGAGAATTGAGACTTGGCGCCAAGTTGGTCTATCCGTTATACTCTAGAATTTGGAAGGCAGAATCACGTAGGCTTTTGTATTTATTTTTCTATTTTGTTTTTCTTCCGATTTTGGACTTTTAGCTAAAATTTCCAGGGAATAAAATTTAATATTTCTCATAGGATCAGAAAAATGTAGTAAATAAACATGCGTTTTTATGCTTTTAAAATATCCCAAAATTATTCACGTTTGTTTTCATTTAGTTACTCCATCCCAATTTGTTTGTCATGTTTCAATATTACAACTTTTTAAGAATATTTTGATTGTGATATTTGTATTTCTCTTTTAAATTTTATTCTAACAAATTTAAAATTTAAATTTAAATGATAATATGAATATGATTAAATAAAAAGACTATATTAGAAGAAAAGACAAAAAGGGAAATCTCAAAAACATGATAAACATTTTAAATTTTTTATTTTCTTAACATGACAAACATTTTAAAATATCAAAAAATGAAAAGTCTGACAATTTTAAGTTTCAATAGGACAGAAGAAGTATAATTATGCTAACTCTAAATTTTGCTTTTGGACTTTGTAACTGTACTTCAGGGAAAATAATTTCTCATATGCATATGTGTAATGTGCCATCATATTGTTCACATCACATTCTGTATTAATTTTTTTTCCACGATAAAAGTTTTAGGATGGATGTTGAGTATGATATCACCAAAAGTGAAAAAAATATATTTCGATGCAAAAAAAACCAGTAGGGATTTTTTTTTTTTTTTTTTTTTTTGGGGAAGGGGGGTGGGTGGGAGGGATTTTGAATATTTTGTTCTTTTTACACTCAGAATTAATCGTACCCAAATTTATACTACCACAAAACTAGACAAGCAACATC